CTGGGACTGATAGCACTGCACTCCCTTCAGAGTGGGAGTTACATCATCAGCTCTCCTGGTTCTCAGGCCTTCTGCCTGGAACTGAATTATTCCACCGGATTTCCTGGTTCTCCAGCTTGCGGACAGCAGCTCCCGGGACTTCTTGGCCTCCGTAATCATGTGAGCTAATTCATATAATAAATCTCCTGTTACTTCTATCTGTATATATCCTATTGATTTCGTTTCTCTGGAGAACCCTGACTAATACAGGAGTGTAGAGAGTACTGACATTTTTAAGACTGCTAATTTGCAGAGGACTAATTTGCAGCAGTTCTAATGGGTGGTAAGCGCAAGCTGTTGCAGTAAGAGCTGTGAACTTGAAATCTAGTGGTTGGTGTTTTAATCCTGTCTTTGCCACCTAGAGCATTTTTCCTTAGCTGCAAATGTGAGAGCTGGAATAGAAGGTCTTTGAGCCTCTTTCAGGCTTGATCATTATACAAGTATGATTGCAAATTAGAACCCGAGGATTCTGTGAATATCCCAGTGAGGCATCCTCAAAGTTTGACAAAAGATAGATTCACAAGGTGTGCAGGTGTGGGAAGTGCTATATAAAACATAGAATAAAATGATTAGATGTACAAGTGATTAGATAGCTAGCTAAGTGATCAGCCTGCAGAACTGTGATGGAGAAGATGACCTTACGGGCACAGGGAAGAACAGCGAGAAGTTGCAGTTTAGTAAGTTCAGCGGGGACGTTATAGCGAGGCGTTCCGCCGGCCTGAACGACGGAGAACGTGGGGAACGGCAGGGACATTTTGTTGATCTCTGCACGTCCATGTGTCTGCTAGATAAATTCACATGAGCAGATAAAGCTGTTTAAAATCTTAATTTAAGTATCTTAGTTTGGAGTCACATGAAATTTCCTTTACAAATGAATTGTATGATGTGATGTTAAAGGAAATTAATACAAAGTAAACAAGCACAACCAACCCCTCGCCCCCACAGCCTTTCAGTGACTGAGGGAATTATAGTATGTAATTGAAGAAAGAAAGAGCACAAAGGAGTAATAGTTTCATCTCACTAATGTTGAAGTGACATGACAAAACTATTGTTTCATGTAGAGATTTACATTAGTGACGTATAAAAGGATGGTTAGGAGAAAACTTAGCTTTTAATTCAACATTTCAGTATGCAAATTAAAAACACCACAACTAAACCATTGCTTTTAGTCTTTCCAAAACTGCTATTAGCTTGATTCAGGAGAAATTCTTAACTATTCTGTCATGGAATGGACTCAATTATGACCAGACTGGTTTTTACCTTGTGTGTAATAGAATGACTTGCTGGCTATCGAGTGACACTATCTAGCGACTTCCTCTTCTTTTCATATTTTTGGTGAAATACTATTTGAATAATATGGTATTTGCATATGAATTCAGGTTAGGCAGGATTAAATCAGAGAAGATTTCAAACACTATTTTCTTTTCTTTTTTTTTTTTTAAAGATTTTATTTATTTATTTGACAGAGAGAGAGAGAGCACAAGCAGGGGGGAGTGGCAGGCAGAGGCAGAGGGAGAAGCAGGCTCCCCCCAGAGCAGGGGGGGCCCGATGTGGGACTGGATCCCAGGACCCCAGGATTATGACCTGAGCACAAGGCAGTCGCTTAACCAACTGAGCCACTCAGGCGCCCTCAAACACTATTTTCATTCAAAAGGTAAGTGTCGGGGCACCTGGGTGGCTCAGTCAGTTAAGCATCTGCCTTCGGCTCAGGTCATGATCCCAGGGTCCTAGGATCGAGCCCCACGTCGGGCTCTCTGCTCAGCAGGAAGTCTGTTTCTCCCTCTACCCTCCCTCTGTGCTCTCTCTCAAAGAAATAAATAAAAAGCTTTAAAAACGTAAGTGTCAATGATGGGTTGGCAGATGACTTCAGTATGCAAATATTTTGGTTTTCATGGAGATAGGATGGATTCCAGCATAAACTACTTCCACCTGCAGAATTCTCTTAATAAAAATATAGTCAGGTTGTCTTTGGTCCAATTTCTTTATAAAGACACTCAATTTTCTTCACTTCACCATAATGGCCCTGAGCAGCATTCTCCAGGACTAAGGTTAAGGTGGAGGATACAGACATCCTGTAAAACTGTAGTTTTATTCATCTGGATCAGCTTTCATGTTACTATTATCCATATGGGAAATTGTAAAGAAAGCAGAAATATGACTTTCATTAGATTTGTAAAATACACTGAAATAAAACAGAATAGATTGTCTATCAATTTTTTTGTCATTCTGGACAAAGGAATGTGCCAATCATCCAACTATATATATTTCCATATTCAATTGATTACTCCTAGATATTTACATCTGGATATGTTGTCCTATGAAAAAAATCTTTACTAGTATATTGTTATCTGGCTCCTTCTTCCCACAGCTATGGCATATTGTAAATTGTCTGGAAGAGTCTAGTTACAATGCTTAGTTCTTTAATCTCATGTCAAACTGAAGGTTAGTTTGACCCATATTAAATAAAGGTAGAAAAGTGAAAAAGAAGACATTGGTGATAAACAGTGTTTAATTCTATTTTGGAGAAAACAATCAACTCTCTTTCTGTAGGATAAAGCTGAAAATGGCAAAAGCTCACACAAATATACAGTGCTGTATCATTCTCAGGTTAATAAAAACAATTTATATGCAGGGTAGTGAACAAGAAGAAAGTTATGGAAAACATTTCTCACCCAAGGACAGTGTACCAGATGTGTTAAGACTTATGGGGGCAATCAGAGGTGACCAAGTCTCAGTGGCGGGCCTTATTAAGTTAGACGGTGACCCAGCACCTTCAACTTATTAAGCTGTCGAGAACTTCAGTGATTAAAACCAAAGAAAGGTCAGATACAAACCTTCAGAATGTCCCTACACTGTTATTTTCTTATAGGCACTAGACCCACATGGAAATACTTCTCTTGACTTTAAAAAATTAGGTATTTAAACTGGATTTATCCAAAGCCTGAGAGAAATTTTAGTAGATGATGCTTCCTCAAGATTTCTCATACCAGTTTCATAACTTGAATCAATATCTAAAGAAGTATCCTTAGAAGGTGGTTTTGCATATCATCAGAACTGAGGCCAGAGGAACAGATTCATGGGGATGTTAGCATCTTCAGATGGGTCCTAGAAGATGAGTGAGACTTGTAGCTACTGTTAGAGATACTGGGAATAAACTTTCAAAACCTTATAATTAATACATGTAAAAGTTAAAATTTGAGATTTAATTCCATCCCAAGTTGTATACTAGGCTTTAAATATCATATGGGTTTAGATAACTTTTCTTTGTCCTTTTCCAAATGTATCTGTCTCTGTATTATGAGATATAGATACACCATACTCTGAATACATTCATGTGTAAATGTACAGGTACAGGGGTATCATGTATATGTAAATACATACTGTACATGTATCTAGGACAATGTTAAATGTTATGCTTTCTCTTGTCTTGGGATCTAAGCAGAAGTCTCAATTTCATATGCACCCGAACCCTTCAACCCCATGGCGGAAAGTTGCTATACTGTTTCTGCAGCACATGCCAAAAGATTATGAAACTGATTCTGCAAGCTTTAGCCTGTTGCACGTCTCTAGGATATGAAGAGAAAAAAAAGAAAGGGCTATTTACTCCTACAATCCCCCTGCCCACCATCACCGCCACTTTATGGTATTTTCCCTTACCTCCTTTCCAGGGAAGTTTGCCTTCAAGAAAGGTGTTTGAAGAGTTTTACAGTTGCCTGGAGTCTGAAGGTCATAGGAAGGGGCCACTGCCCTCTGTAGGGAGAATTCTGCAAGCAGCATAGGGATGGACAGAGGGCCCAGCAGAGAGTAACCTGCAACTGTGTGTGCTGCTAAGGGCCAGTGGGAACCTGAGGAACGGAGCCTTGCCTTAGTCTTCTCACAAGAGACTACAATTTCACAGAACCACTTCCAGGGCACAGGGCTACTGCAGAGGCCAAACTACCGCTAACAGTGGTGCTGAAGGGAGGGGGGGTTGTATGGCAGCTAACCAGAAGAGGCTTCTAGAAAGCCCCAAAACTCCCTGTGAGAGGGAAAATCAGAAATCTTTCAGTTCATTCCTCCTTCCTATTCCAGGATTTCAGTGGGTTGGGGAGAAACTTAAATTTGCATCAAAATTTAGAGTTAGGTGATACTTCATTAACTGGACTTTCTTTTTTTTTTAGAATATCACCTTTATTTATGACTTAGGTAAAACATGCAACACAAGAGATCAGACTGTTCCCAAGCTAAGAATAAGGCTTTTTCTTGAAAAACAAACAAATACACAAAAGCCAGCAACTATAAGTCATATGCTGAAACCAAATAAAATACCAAGTTATCTGTACATCAAAAATAAATGAATTGCCTGAACCTTACCCTTTTAAAAATAACCTAATTCAAGACCTAAATCCACTCTAATGTTTCCTCTTCTCTGAATTTGTATAGCACACTTTCTGTAATTAATAACACACTTCTTTGTATTATCTATACTGTTTTCATACAGACAGGCATTAATTATATCTCAAACTAGACAGTCAGTTCCTTTGAGGAAAAAGACTACAGTATCTAGCGCTATATGTTGAAAGTTAACAGGCACCCAGTAAAGGCTGGTTGGCATCTATTTCTTGGCAAACATTTCTCGATGATCCGGTTAAAGGAAGAAAGAGAATGTGTGCTGTCGGTAGAATATGGAATCTGGGAGAATTTAAGATACGAATTACACACACGGAGTCAATATCTAACAGGTTGCTGCCTAGAGCCAAGAGGGCTAATATAGTTATGATTTGCTAATACTAAAAGCCAAACTACAGTTTAATTCTCAACAGCACAATATTTAAATGGAAAAAAAAAAACCAAACCAACCACATGCAAACTTCATTGCAACCAAAGATTAAGTAGTTAATTGTGAATACTACTCTATTTCACATCATCACAATTTGTAGATAATGTGTAATCCCAAAACAATATGCTGAAGATACGGTCATTCAGTCAAAAGCAATTCTGATATTGTGTTCTTGCTCTGCGCGACGATGATCCTCAAAAACCCATGTTACCTCTTCTCCTTTCCTTTGCAGCATGCCTGAATTCCGATTAATCCACTGTAGAGAGTCCATATGAGCATTCAGGATCTTGCAGATCTGCTGAAGTGGGTCAATAGTGTCAGCAGGACTTCCAAATGTATTCAGGTGCTCGATAATGTCCTTGAGATCTTGGGCCATTCGTTTCAGCTGAGCATCTATATTTTCTGCTAATTTGTAAGTCTTTCCATGCTCCTCATCTGCATGCTGCAGATAAGCAGACCCACTCAGGTCCTTCACAAACTCCTCTAAAGGGGTCAAGAGATCTTCCAGTTCCTTCTGCCATGACAGGATAAAATCCAATTCTTGTTCCAGCCTTTGCTGATCCAGTTTCACTTTTTCCACTTCTCCATGTAAAGTAGTAATCTTCTCACCATTCTCAATCAGTGTATGGTCCCAAGCATTGACCTGAGTGGCCTGGTGAAGAAAGTACTTCTCTTGATCCTCTAAATCAAGGCTCCATTTGTTTATCAGACCCTCCAGCTGACCATATGTCATCACGGGAGTTACAATTGCATTAACAGTCGAAGTAAATGGTAGGGAATTAATACCAACTGGAAAAATGTTATTAATCCCAGATGATGTCAGTGACCTTAGGTTCAAGGTAAAGCCACTGGTGGTTGTGGTAGTAGTGGTGGTGGTGGTGACAGTGGTGGTGGTCGTCGTTGATGCTGTAGTAGAAGCAGTATGAGCTGCTCCATCTGCTCCAGGGAATTTTAATCCAAATCCCAAAGTTATGCCACCAAATGTTCCAGTCGAAGTTGCTGGAGCACCAAAAGAGAGCCCAGTAGCCGCAGAAGAAGTAGAAGCGTTTGACATTGAAGTAAACAGCATGGTGCTTGAACAAGTAGTGGCATCAGCAGTCTATGCTGAAGCTAAACCTTGGTGCTTGCCACCGCTGCTCGCCGTCAGGGACCCAAAGTAAATGGATAGGATGTCCGAGACTGTCTTGCGGCTGGCGAGGCGGGCCTGGGCCTAATCTGAGCAGGGAAAAAAAAAAAAAAACGGCCTCTACCGCGGGCAGGCTGCTGCTGGAGTTAATCTAATGGAGAGACGCTTAACTGGGGTCCCCATTAACTGGACTTTTATTATGGAAGTGTAACATGAAAATTTGTGGGATCTGCCTTTGCACTGAGGCATTTCCATACAGTGCTCTGATAGGAATGTAAATACAAATACTATTTCTGGGAAAAGACATGGCAATATACATTAAGAATTCTCTCAGAAATTAATATTCTTTGGCTTTTTATCTTCCTGTGAATTGATCTCTAAAAAATAATCAAAATTCAGACAATAGTGTGCATCATAATATTACTTCTAATAATAAAAACACAGAAACAATTTGTATCTAACAAGAGAATGGTTCAATACGTTATGGAATATCAGTATAATGGAGAGAGATTACATAACCATTTAAATTGTTCTTTCCAGAGATTAACATATGGGCAAATGCTTAGCATATAATGTTAAGTGAAAAAGAAAGATTCAAAATTATACATTGATTTTAATATCAATTTAAATATTTATGATTATGTAAAATATGTATGTCTAAATAAAAAGCTTGAAACAAAATATTAAGAAGGGTTATAATTGGTTGGAGTATGGGTTGGTGATTGTATTGCTCTATTTACACCTTTTTAAATTTTCCAAGTTCTATTAAATTAACATTGTATTGCATATATTATAACTGAAGTCACAAAATATAAAGTGATTTATTTTACTGATACAATAAGCAACATTTTTTTCCTATTACTTACCGTATTAATAATGGTGGCATAACAGAGCACATCAGAAATTCCGAATTCAACATGTTTTATTCTATAAATTTAAAATTTTTCTTTAAAACTATATTTTGACATGAACAATATAATTTTAGATACAAGATTTCATAGAAAAATTATGGATTTGCTGTGGTTTCTTAAAAAGTATTTTTGAACACTTTTGTAATTTTTCTATCCAAAAAAAGAAAATAGTTTTTACTGATATAATTTGTATTTTTATATATGGATTTTTATGAAGATATTAATTCATACTTCATTAAGGTATGTGATTCCTATTCCATTTCTTATACATCTTGAATTCCTGTATTTCTAATATGCTTAACACAAAGTATAATTCAGTTTTGGAATGCAAATACTTAAACATGAAATTTTATAGTTTGTGCATGTGAGAAAACTGTATAGATGACATTGTCTTCATTTGGAGACACAAATCTCACAATCACTTTTCAGATTCCTGCATGTTCCTTCTTTTTCTTTATCAGTATTCTCCCTGTGTTGTTTTCTCCTCTGCTTTCTGACTTAGATGAAAATCCTCACCACATGGCTTCCTCGGTGGCCGTCAAAATGTTGTACGATGCAGACTGACACCTGAGGAGTTGGCTGCCGGTGATGTGACCCTTGACAAAAGGGAAAAGGAGATTGGAAGGTGTCGGGCAAATAAATTCCTTTCCTTTTCTTTCTCTTCTTCATTGACTCCTCAGAGGCTTGCTTTCTTCTTGCAAACCCTACAGACAAGTTTTGAGTGCCAAGTAACACAAAGACAAGTCAACTTGTCTATGGTTCATTGTTAAGCAGAAACCAGTGTAGTAACAACGTCGTGGTGCACTTCCTTTCTCCTTCCTTTGCTTCGCTTCACTTTTCCTGTTACCTTCCCCACAGAGCTGGCACCTCTCAAAATGTGTTAGCACCTTAATCCTTGCCTTATGCTTCCCTACCTAGAAGAACCAGTTTATGACACTTTCCACGTGGGATGACTTGTTTCCCCATCAGCTGACTTGGTATAGCTTGGGCCATCAGCATTCTGGAGAAAAGTTTTGCTAATGAAGCTGTCTTTGCTATTATTTTGATAAACTTAAAGAAAAAAAATATATGACTCTGCAGAATAGGAGCTTATTTATTTAGACACCTGAAATCGTAACTGAAAAGATGACTCTGTTGAAGCCAATTTTAAGGTTGTGGTGGTAATCCCAGGATTCTGGCAGGAGGAGAGAGAAAGTTTCCTCAGTATGGTCTAGGGAAAAATGATGGCCTTCGAATTCATTATGTTTAAAGTTGCATAGCACAGTCCAGATTATATCAGAATTGTGGTTTCCAAACCAGAGGATGATATCACATATGTCATCTGAGACACAGTGAACAGCTTAAGCCCCATGTGATTAGAAGTGGGTTTAATCTGGATATTCTACTAGACAGGGCTATTTTATGTCTAAAAATCTTGGTTTATCCCAGCAGTGGCCACAGATGGATTCGAGAAGATCATGGTGATGCAAGTGTGGCTATATGGAGTGAGGTGAATGTGGTGAGAACTTTGTCCTTTATACTGAATTCAGAAATGAGAATGGACATGGACAATGATGTTTGGAAGGAAGTCTGTAATTTGGTGGATGAAAGTGCCTGTGAGGTGTTAAAACAGAAAGGATAAGTAAATTTTCTATTGATGTGTGACTTACCTCATTGAGTCGACATTTAAAACAGTATCTATGTTCACCTAGGTTCATCCAGTATCAATGATAAAAAAAGGTGTATGACACGCGGGATAAATTCTTCTGAGCCTAAATGCTCAAGGATTACCTTTTGCTATCATCGAGAACCTGAGAGTAGATATATTTTGACATCCAAAAGATCTAAAGCAACTATGATATCTGGGTTCTATGCTGAGGAAATGTAACTCTAATGTGACTAACCGAGCATTCAGTTACCATCCATGTTCATGGATCATACTTTACTATTTCTTTCTACAGCAAGAATTTGGGCCCATAGTAACAAAGCATGCTAATAAAATGCTTGCATTTTAACATAGGGAAGAATTAAATGGACTACCATAATGTGCCCCCCAAAAAAGGAAGAAAAAAAGAAGACAATATAAAAATCATGGTTCAATCTAAAATGAGGTAGGAATATGAGAGTGAATTTTCTCTAATGAAACAATTAGACTACACATATCAGACAACATTCCTTTTTTTTTAAAGATTTTTTATTTATTTATTTGAGAGAGAGAGAGAATGAGAGATAGAAAGCACGAGAGGGAAGAGGGTCAGAGGGAGAAGCAGACTCCCCGCTGAGCAGGAAGCCCAATGCGGGACTCGATCCCAGGACTCCAGGATCATGACCTGAGCCGAAGGCAGTCGCTTAACCAACTGAGCCACCCAGGCGCCCACAAGATTCCTTTTTATAATATGTCCTCTGTAATCTGAACAGCTGAAGTTCTGGGTTATATTTTCAAATAAGCCAATTGGCAATTAAAAATAACAACTTTAATTGACTTTTAAAATTATAAAATTAATGTAATTTTTACCGTAGATGTTATGAAAAATAAAGAAAAGCATATGAAGCAAAACAAAATTTCCAACACCCTAGGAAAATCATTGTTAATTTGTCTTTGTGCCCCCAATTTTTTAATATTTTTTTTTACACAGATACATACTTCCAAATTAAGATAATACTACGTAGGCAATATTGCATTCTCTCTGGGGGATTTTTTTTTGTCATCAATTTTCTGATGACAGAAATTTCTAAGACTTTTCATATTCTTTGAAAACAGTGTTTAATAGCTTCATATTATTACTTTGTATGGCTGTAGCATGACTTATTTACTCAGCAGCCCATTTGTGGTTATTTAGGTGGTTTTTCCATTTTACTCTCAGAAAGAACTCTGTATTGAGGATCCTTAAACATACTCTTTTTTTTTCTTTTTCTTTTCTTTTCTTTTTTTCTTTCTTTCTTTTTTTTTTTTTTGTGACTCTCCTATTCCTTCCTAAGAAGTACAATTACTGGCTCAAAGAGAATACAAAATTAAAATTCTTTTGATACATGTTGCCAATATTTTACAAAAACTGGAGCCCAAAATGCTTTTCCATGTATTTTCAATTTATATTTTGAGTTTTTATTGAAGTTTAACTTTTTTCATTTATTAGAAATTTTATTTATTATTTATGAGTCTTGATGCTTTTAATTATTTTTCTGCACAAGAATTCATCTTATATATTGTGTTATAAGAACTCTTTACATATTAAAGCTTTTTATGAGTGTGCCAGACAGGAGTAAACATGAAAACAAATCACTTGTTTTCACAACCTTATTTTAGCATACAAGACATAAAATAAGTAAGCAAACAAGGAAATAAGACATTTGGTTGTTTCAGACAAAGATATTTCTTTGCATCTGATCTTTTAGATAGCAACGGGCATAGTAGGATTGAGAAGGATGATGCCTTAGCTACTGTGCGCAGAGCATGATAAAGTTCTCCGGTTCTCGAGTCTTTATCTTAAATACATATATATCATTTTATGGTTTTCCTTATATTAGCTCTTGCCCACTTCTTGTCAAATTTCTTCCGTTGTATTTTATAATTTTGTTTTTATGGATGGGATCTCTCTCTTTGCATTATGTTTCCTAACTGGCTATGGTAGGTGACTGACTACTTTAATTATGGTATCTATAATTTGAGCTTTGGTGTCATTGTTAGGATCAGGGTGAACCAATTACCACATGGTCCTAACTCAAAATTTCCTGTGATTGAGCTCTCAGGATTCTATCTTCCTAAGATCCTAAGCTCACACTTAGTACGGAAGTGTCAGAGTTGAGAACCTGATGATAACCACAAATCTTAGCTTTAATAAAGTATTTATGTCTACTGGCAGTTTATGTCTTGAGGTTGTACTGTGAAACCTGCTATTTAACAAACACCTTAATTTGTGTTTTGCATCTAGTCAAGTTTAAGAAACTTTTAAAAGGTATTTATACATTCTAACATCCACTTAATATTGTTCAAGTTGTATTATATTTTTTTGAACTTACTTTCTTGTAGGTTTTCATTTGAGGAAGAAGAGAGTT